ATTAGATGTAGCTCGTCTGTGTTGGGACATTCTTTTGAACAGTGGCTGCGTGTTAATTAGGTGTCAACGATAGCCATGTGATGTGAGTATCAGTCACATGGAGGCAGGGCTTAAAAGCCTGAATTTTGCCTGAAACTCTCAGACTGAAGAAGTCTCTTGGAGAAGAGACGAAACGTTTCATTAAAGAAGAACCCGTCCAGAAGACCTATACAATTTTTTTCTTCTTAAATAATTAAGCTGGATGAAATAAAGAAGACAACATATTTTGTATAAGTTAAACGTTCACACAGCCTTCAGTTGGTGCTGATTAATCCATAAATTCTGGTCACCTTCTTAGGTGCCATTTATACTCATATTTATAGTTACATTGTTTTTAAGTAAATGATTGGTTTTGAAACAGGGGTCAAAGGTTAAAGTCAGGATAAAATTTTAGGGAAATAAGTCAGACACATACATATATCTCTGAAACGTTAAGAATTTAGAGAACATCAGCCTGACCTCAAACTACAGAAGGTTTTAATAAACTTCAGTAGATCAACTCATCAATGCTGGGGCAGCTGTTAAGAAGAGAACCACGGTCCGTGGCTTCTGTTCATATCCACAAAGTTACGGGTGTGTAGTGACCAAAAATACAAAAGCAAGAATGAACCCAGAGCCCCTTCAAAGAAGTGCACATTCTTCATGTTTTGTGCCATAATGGATCCTGATCCCATCAGAGATGCTGACTCCTGCGTGCTGAGAAGAAGCTGCACGGTTCATCTTCTCTTTGACCTGAAACATGGGATGTTTCTGGTTCTCACAGGAAACCACAGCGCAGCACATCTTTCTGCTAGGACTCATTCTGAGCTGGAACAGTGGAAGAACAGAAACGTTGTACAAACCTACGTGCTGAAGGGAAATAAATCATCCTGAGCTTTATTGACGGAGGTTTTCTGATCCATGCTGTGATTTCTACAACAGACTGTTTTTAATGCAGCGMTGCCTAAAACATCTGAAACATTCAGCTTATATTTCTTCAATCTGAAGGTTGTTGGTTTAATTTCCAAACCTAAAACTTATATTTCTGTCTTTAAGAACTTCTGATGAGAAATGGTTCAAAACGAGCACTTTGAGTGTAAACTGGAGCACTTTTCTAAAGAGCTACATGTGCAGTGTGAGCTGTGATCTACCTTGGCCAGTTCCCAGTGGTCTGTCCTCCAGTGTGGAGGGTAACAGTTTGCCCAGTTGATGTTGGCGTCAGGCTGTCTGTGGTGTCCCAGGATCACTTTCTGCCACTCTGAACACACCCTGCAGGACGAGGAAAGCTGCAAATCCAGACACACTCGYATAAAGCATGCAAGTTATGACAGAACATCAAGAAAACATCTGCACGGTTAGTCATGTGATCAGAGGAAACACAGGAAACCAAAGCCAAGGTTGTTTGGTGATTTGCCACAAGTGGCTCCAAACAACAACAACAACAACAACAACAACAACAACAACAACAACAACAACAACAACAACAACAACAACAACAGGTTGATATTATGATACCGTATTCCTTCGGGGTTTGCATGATGAAGGTGTGTGACATGGAGTCCGCAGCAGAGAGTGCTGGTTGAGCAGATCTCCGTGGAAAGCTCTCATCTGGTGGTCAGTGAACGGGTGGAGGCCATCCTTCAGGATGAGCAGACACCGACCTGCTTTCAGCCAGTTTTTGTACTCTCTGTCGTTCAGACGGACCGTCAGCTCCTCAYGAACCATCTCCGCTTTACTTCCTGAAGGAGCGGAGAAGAAAGGGGCGGGGCTAGTGCCGCTCAGTCTGCGTGCAATCCCTGCCGCGGCCACGAGATGGTGCTGTGGGCTTTGTTACTGAACGTGTTTGCTGCTTTGATCTCAAACAAGCTACAGCTTCACATGTTGGTGAAAAAAAATGTTAATTTTCTTTTTTTTTTACTTTGATATATAAAAATTAATAGAATATAATATTTTAGGAAGGTGTAAAACACTTTTATAACAATTCAGGATTAAAAAATGAATTGCTCACTAATTTTGTCTCAGTGAATATTAACCATGACACAAATACCATTTGAGAAATGTGGACAGCATAAGATGAAACAATCCTCTGCTTCAAGCAATAAAGCTAGAATACCATGATAAATCACCAACCGACAGCTGGTGAAAATATAAAATCATTTCATGAAACTTTATTTTGCTTTGTACAAACACTCCTGTGCATCGAGTCTGAAGATTCTCTGGAAGCGTCCCAGTAACTTTACAGATCCTGTCATCCAATGAGATCCAAGCATTTTAGTAAATGTTGGAGGAAGCCGTTTTCAATTTTCAGCAGTGAGTGCATGACACAAGGATAGCTCTCTAAAACGCTGCATTGCTCCGAGAAATGTTTTCTTCATCTTTAGTTTTAAGGAAGAACAAGTGAATTGAACATTTTTTTTAAAAGACTTGCATAAACAACCCTATGGGGACATTTTCTTCCATAAAGTAATAGAAAGGGCTGTGCCACATGTTTTATCTTTATGTAAGAGTGGATCTGATCCACTTATGACCATTCTTTTTTCTTTTCTTTTCTTATTTTGCATAATTGTCACATGGTTGTGAATGTTTCTGGTTTCGTGTGCTGTACAGTACACCATCAGAAGAATTCAGGAGCTGTTTTGTCAATCAAACCACTGTCCTTTTATCATACAGGATGTTTTGAAGACTCAGTTTTACTGGTTGCCCCTCACACCTTCAGCTGATTTATACCTTTAGTTGCATTTACGAAACCTTTATCCTTACAGTTAAACCAATGCTTTTTAAATCCACACATACCTCTGAGGCTACATCACCTCCAGCTGATGACTGATGACTGATTTTATAGATAATATTTTGTAAACTGGTGGCTAGTCTCTGTGCAGTGCTTCACTGCAAAATCCCATAAGACATATTTTAAGAGTAGTACACTCAGGCCGTGTTTCAGCAAAATGTTCAGCAGTTAAAGTGTGATTCTCTATGAGGTTGTTTTCTCTGTAAGAATAGTTAAAAAGTCTTACAAACCAGTAACYGATGGTATGGTGGTCTGTTTTGCAGACGTTGTGAATTGAAATGTTTGACTTTTAGACTTGTTGTAGAATTGTTTTATTATGAATTTGTGCAAGATAATCGCTTCAAAATTAGGACAGTCTTCAAAAGTATGTAATATTTCAGGRGGCTGCACCCTAACATCCAAACTACAAACTAACATGTTTTCCATTATTTAGCTCAGAGGTTCTCAAACTGGGGTCCCAGGAACCCCAGGGGTCAATGAGCAGTGTCTTGGGGGTCCTCAAAATTTTTTTCAATAAATTAATTAGGTTTTTATTTTAAAAATTGCATATATGGAACAATGCACTGATAAAACAAACATACTAAACCAAATAAAAATATTATTGTGGCATTTAGGGGTTAAAATGACAGTAAATTATTTTTAAAGCAGCATGGGGTTCACAAGAGGGTCCCTGGAATTTTTTCACCCCTGTWAGGGGTCCCCAGATCCAAAACGTTTGAAAACCCCTTGTAACTCACTGAGTGTTAACATTTTTCCACTAACATCTTATTGTTATTTAGCTCACTGCTCTTACATTTAGCTAATTTTTACTAAATGTTAAATTTAAATGTTAAAAAAATATATGTACATATTAAATCCTAAATCTAAAAGTGTAAATCTAAGTGTAAATTTTACATCTTAAATGTTGAAGTTCACATTGACGTATTTTGTAATGGAATGCAGCCTTTGTTGTTAGTGCTCGGCTCACGTTATGACATCATCATCCTGAGACAAAACTAACTGCTGGTGCTGGCTTTTGTCCTAGGTCAGGGGTCTGAAACCTTTATGATCAAAGGAGCCATTTCTGCTACTTAACTCACTGATATTTTTTTTTATTGGTCTAGAGCCGCAAAACAGGCTACAACTGATTTTCAATTGGTGGTCCGTGGGCCATTTTGAGGCCTTTTCAGGAACCTTTCTGGCCAGTGGAGCTGACATTATAAAACTAAAAAATATATCATGAATTTTATAATTTATTATTACTATCACACAATCAGGACAAATGAAAGACGATATTCACGTAAACAAGAAAAATATAGTATAGTTTACACCGAATTTCACAACTAGTACAACTGAACTATTTAGGCTTTTTTTTCTAATTATTATTATGTAGTCTTCAATTTTTTTGAAAGGTAATTCTGATGTATTTGAGAAAAAGATCATAGAAAGGCATTGGATTTTTAAGCACACAACAGGCTAGCATACACTAACATGTTTTACTTATTGATCACATTTGTATGCGTGTGTGATATTTTAATAGTATGTATGAGCAAATATAGTCTTGTGAGTGTGTKTACAAACTGCATGTACAAACATTTCTGCCAGAAGTGTGTAAGTTTCAGTTTCTCAGATGAGGACAACAATCAGAAAGTAACAGAGACTGTTGCTGCTAACATTATTATTCTTAATATATTACGTTAATGCCAAAAAGCAATATAACAACAGGACTTATGATTCTGTACTTTTCCTCCTGCCTTCCTCTTCGAGCAGAACACCAGGATGTTTGAGCTTCAGCTGTTCGTTCATTGCGGTAGTGCTACTATGCTAGGCTAACTCCATTTTACAGAGTCAACAACCAAACAAGCCCTTTTCTTTCGSATTAAAATACTTCAACACTTTGACGTCTTTGGACGTTTCCTTGGCTGAACTCCGTCATCGGGGTCTTCTTCACGTGTACTGCTCAGACCGAGTGTCGCCATTTTCTTTGCCTTCTCCTCTTTCGATGTATTCACGTAAAACGACGTGTCGATGGTATGTTGTGCGTGTCGACGTATTTATGCAGCCGATGTAACCGATGACGTTGACTAGTCGGAACAGCACTATTTAGAACCATCAGAAATGTTGTCAAAATAAGCTAGCTGTCACATGCTCTCGTCCTGACCCCCACAGCCCCCCCACCTTAGTAAAGGTGAATGGAATGGCACGATTCTAAAAATCAGAATGACATCGACTCAATCCATGGGCTGGGTCCTCATGAGGACCCAGCCTAGCTGGGCCACRYAGGCCACATCCTTGCTTGGCCGGGTAGGATGCTCAAAACTGCTGCGAAATGAGACGGTCCAGCCTTCGCCTG